TCACCAGAATTCCCTTTGACATCTGTAACTCCACTAACAGTCTCTTCAAAGCAATCTAGGCTTTTACTATTGTATGTATGTATGTGTGTAAAGTGCCATCAAGTCTGTTCCAACTCATAGCTACCCCTCCTTGGGTTTCCAAGGTGGTACCTCTAAGGAAGTAGATTTCCCAGTCTTCCTTCCAAGGAGTGGCTGGTGGGTTTGAACCGCAGCCTTCTGGTTAGCAGTCAAATGCCTTAGGTACTATGCCACCAGAACTCCCAGGCTTTTACTATTAGGCACTTTAGAACTATTCTAGCCTCTACCCATTACCCAATTCCAAAACCACATTCCACATTTTGGGTATCTGTTGGAGTAGCACCCCATTCTTCCAATACCAAATTCTGTCTTAGTTATCTACTCCTTCTGTCACAGAAATACCACAAGTGAATGGCTTTAACAAACAAATTTATTCTCACAGTATGGGATGCTAGAAGTCCAAACCCAGGGCACCAGCTCTAGGGAAAGGCCCTCTCTCTGTTGGCTCTGGGGAAAAGTCCTTGTCTCCTTTGAACATCTGTGGCCCAGCATTCCTGGGAGATCTCCATGTGTCTTGGCAATAGTCTTCCCCTGGGTCTAGGAGGTTCTCAACACAGGGACCCCAGGTAAGGAATTTGTTAGTAAAAGGCTCCAAGAAAGGTTGGTAGTCAAGTCCCTCTTACCTCTGCTTGCTTGTTTAACCTCTTTTACATTTCAAAAGAGATTGACTCAAAAAAATCCTACATTATTAACATAACTGCCCCTAATCCTGCCTTAGAGATCAGGATTTTCAACACATAGGATAATTATATCAGATCACAAAATAGAGGATAATTATATAACACTGAGAATCATGGCATAGCCAAATTGACACATATTTTAGGGAGAACTCATTTCAATTCATAACAACATAAGATTTTTCTCCCTTGTAGGGTTCCATTCCTCACCTTACAGTCTGGCTTCTTTTCCATCTGCCTGTCTGACCTGCCATCTCCCATTTCTAACAGATCTTTGTATATGTCTGAACCATATTTGTATGCAAAGTTGAAAGACTTTCCCGCGGGATTCTAACCCCCCCAAAAAAACCTCACTGCTATCAAGTCGAATTTGACTCATAGCAACCCTCTGTGGGTATCCAAGGCAGTAAATCCTTATGGAAGTAGATTGCCCAGTCTTCCTTCTGTGGAGTGACTAGGGTTTGAACTGCCAACCCTCTGGTTAGTAGTCAAATGCCTTAGGCACTCAGTCACTGGAGGTTCTTGGGATGCTAACACTCGGTACAGATTAGGAGATATGATTAGCATATCCAGGTCTCAATGTACTCACTAATTGGACTCCTGTTTTACTGTATGCACAAAATAATTTCAGGTAAATTTAAGATTTTAAAATAAATATTGGTGAGTACTAGGTTGGAGAAAGATTTTTTTAAATCCACAAAAACACAAATCTATAAAAAAAAAGATTGATAGATTTTAGTACATTAAAATCCAAAGACAACATGTGAAGAATAAAAGAAGCTACAAACTGGAAGAAAATACTTGCATCACACATTACTGATAAAGGATTGCTATCTAGAATGTATAATGAACTTTCATAAATCAGTAAATAAAAGGCAATACAATCCAATAGAGAAATAAGTGTATAGGAAAACTGAATGTCCAAGAACATAGGAAAAGATGGATAGTTTCGTCAGTCAAGTATAATTTAAAATGCTAATGAAAAAACCATTTCAGTCCCACCATACTGATGAAATCTGATATTACCAGTTATTGGCAAGATGCTGGTCAGACCATTTATACAGTGCTGGTGGGAATGTAAATTGGTACAACCACTATGGAAAGCAGTTTGTTGATTTTGTGTGTGTGTGTGTGTGTGTGTGTGTGTGATTTGGGTGAAGATTTACAGAGCAAATTCACTTTCCATACAGCAGTTCACATATACTTTGTCTCATGACATTGACCACAGTTTACCACAATGCAACAGCTCCCCTCCCACTTCCTCCCCATAGTTAACCTCTTCCCTTTGTCCATCCCTCTGTGAACTCCTGCCCTCTGAGCTGTCTTCCTGTGTATAAGCAGCCCTTTTTTCTCCCATGATTATTCTCTCCAAGGAGAGTATCTACTTGAGGTAAATGTTCAACTCATATGCCTGTCTTTTGTTTGGCTGTAAACCACAGGTGTGGGTTCAATTCCAGACCTGAAGGGCAGCTAGGGACCATAGTCTCAGTGGTTCCACCAGGCTCTATCGGACCAGTAAACCTGGTCCCCCCCCCCTTTTTTTTTAATTTGTTGATTTTTGATAAAAATGAAGATGTGTTTACCTCATGATTCAGCCAGGGCCACCCCAGGATACACAAGACCCCAAACATATTTTTGTGAGGTCCTTGTCAACATAAACAATTTGAATGAACCACAGTCAGCATGTCAGCACATTCTGAAAACCCAGTCTCAAAGTCCTGCAAAAGAAGTACTGCTCTTGGTAGTGGAAGTGATCCACTTGCCAGGCTGCCCTTCTGGAACCAGGACCTGGCCACAGTATCCTAGGACAACTCTATAGGCATGAGTCCTAAGGCTTGTTGATGAGATGGTTGAGTACCCTAAAGAGGAGAAATGGGGACCTGGCCTTATGTAGTTTTATCCAGGCTTGGGTACCTGCTGGGATAAGACTACTGGGTCTGACTGGTCCCAGGCACTGGGGGAGATTTATAAAGATTCAAGGATGGCACTCCAGAACATGGGAGTGAGAGGAATCTCTGAGGGCGCAGGTAGTGGCAGGAACCCTGGTGGCCCTTGCCCATGAGGAGCTGTCACCTGATTTCCTGTAATTTGAAATCAGCTGCTGTGGACAACTTAGTGCTATATTTCCAAAGATTTCCCTAGATTCACATTAAAATTAATGTCCAATATGGATACGAAGTTCTGTGGAAGCTCCAAGGAGGGAAGGACCAATATGAGAAGGCTGGGAAAGATGAGAAGAGGGCATGAGAGTCCCAGAGCACACCCATGCAAAGACTCAGAAGCTCCAAGTCACGTGGGGAGAAGTGACTACTGTGGTGTACCTGGAGTGGTGTTATTCACTGAGCACCTAGTCTGGTCCCTGAGACTTGCTAAGTGTTTTGTGAATATGTTTCTTTTTTTCTTAGACATGGGACGCTTATATGAATTTTCTTGATCTAACTTCAGCTGTCCAAATAGTCTTGGGCCCAAGTTAGCATTGCATAAATGTGATGAGAATTTATAGAGATGCGGTGGTATCCACAGCCTGTAGCTGAACCTGTGCCAGGGCTTCCAGGACAGTGGTCTAGCAGTGGACAGGAATATTGTGGTCTCTTTGTAATCTTCCCTATTTGAGCGACTGCAGCCTGTGATAGACTTTACCCTCAACTGCTTTGAGTCAGTTGAGAAACCTAAAATCTCTTTAGGTTTCCATCTACAGTGATGCAGTGATCCCAATAGACCCAAAAGGGACAGGGCTAATAGAGTTGGGATATATACACTAAAGCAGAGCTTTGGTGTATAAGAATACCTCATAGAAAATACGTGGATATCTTATAGGAAAAAGGCACAGTGACTTAGCCAACCTTGCTTAAGATAATTGCCAGGATTTGTGAGTCTAACTCATCCTTGTAAGAAGGACAAATCAGGAACATGGCCACGGAGCGTATTCCCAGTGAATTCTCCACAAAAGGAGATTATTAATGAAGGTAAAAACTGAAATTATTAGAATAGAAATGAAAAAAGATGTAATAAAACCAAAATCTGGTTCATCAAGAATACCAAACAGACTCCCCTCGTGGGCTTATTTATGGAAAAGAGAGAGATGAAACAAATTATGACATGAGTGATTAAAAAGGAAATAAAAGCTCAGATAAAGATGAGATGAAAAGAATCTAAAGAGGATCACATAAAACTATGGCAACAAATTGGAAAATTTAGTGGGAGTAGAAATTATTGTGGGAGCTCAGGTAGCATAGTGCCTAAGGCACTTGACTGCAAACCAGAAGGCTGGCGGTTCAAACCCACCAGCCACTCCTCGGAAGGAAGATGGGGCAAACTACTTTCATAGTGATACTGCCTCGGAAACCCAAGGAGAGATCTCTATGGGTCGGGTCCGACTTGACAGCACATGACAACAACAACAGAAATTACTGTAATCTTAGCTCAAGAACTGTTCAAAAAGCTTACTTTAGACTTGAGCATTGCATCCAGTGGAGTACACAGAATGACAGCCTTTGCTGGGATTACCTCTAAGTCACTGCCGTTGAGTCGGATCCGACTCATAGCGACCCCTCCTTGAGTTTCCAAGGCAGTATCACTACGGAAATAGACTGTCCAGCCTTCCTTCCAAGGAGTGGCTGGTGGGTTTGAACCACCAGCCTTCTGGTTAGCAGTCAAATCTCTCCTACACAGCTCCTATTCTGATGGCTCTGTCTGTTTCACAGAGAGATTTCTTTTCTTTTCTTTTTTTTTTTTTTTTAAAAAACCACTTTATTGTGATTTGGGTGAAAGTTTTTTATAGCAAATTACTTTTCTATTCAACAATCCATACACATTTTGTTTAATGGCCTGGATTGCAGTCCCCACAGTGTAACGGTGCTCCCCCCACTTCCTCTCTGTGATTCCCATTTCTGTTTGTCCTTTTTTTCTATCCCTTCCTACCTTCTGGCTTTATCAGTGGGCAAATTCTGCCCTTTTGGTCTTGTATGGTTGATTGTTCTAAGGGGTGCATACCTCCCTGGTGTTATTGTTCACTTTGTAGACCTGTCTGTTCCTTGGCTGAAAGTTGAGCCATGGGGGTGAGTTCATTTCCAGGCCTGAAGTGTGTCTAAGGGTCATTGTCTCACAGATTCTCCTGGTCTCTATCAGACAGTAAGCCTGGTCTTTTTTTATGATTTTGAGTTTTGTTCCACATTTTTCTCCCACTCTATCCAGGACCTTCTATTGTGATCCCTTTCCAGAGAAAGATTTTTGTTTGGAAATTGGATGGCTGCTGGGAAAATGAACATCAGTATTGATTTGGAAACTAACTATGCAGAGTTGGTTCTATATGTGGGAAGAATCACTCTTGGGGAGAAGAACAGAAAAAGAATGAAAGATTGTCAACTAAGAAAAAAGCAGAACGAAAATGTCTCACGAGCTGTGTGTGCTTTGCTGAATTCTGGTGGGGGAGTGATCAAGGCTGACATTGAGAATGAAAACTATGGTTACCAAAAAGATGGAATAGGATTAGATTTGGAAAATTCTTTTAAGATTATTTTGCCATCTTTTGTTCATAAATACCTAGACTTCATGCAGCAAGGACACTGTTTTTTTATTTTTGTGAAGTCATGGAGCTCAGAATCCTCTGGTCTGCAGATTGCCACCGTGAACTCCAATTTGTACCAGAGAGACATAACATCTGCAAATGTCATGAATGCTGTTGGTGCACTGGAGTTTCTCAAAGAGAGGAAACAATCAGGAGGGAGACTGTGTTTGAGACCACAGTTGTGTCCAGCAAGGGCTCGTATTGATGTACAAGAAGAAAGTAACGTGGAAACCTTGGCTGCTGACTTTTTTAACAGGCAGCAACTTGTGTACAAAGAAAAGCTCACCTTTACTGAATCCACACATGTTGAAATTAAATACTTCTCAACGGAAAAGTTGTTACAACGCATTAAAGAGAGTCTCCCTCAGTATGTTTCTGCATTTGCAAATACTGAAGGGGGATATTTATTTATTGGTTTAAATGATGATAACCAAGAAATAATTGGCTTTAAAACAGAGACGAGTAATCTCAGTAAGTTAGAAAAAGATATAGAGAAGTCCATTAGGAATTTGCCAACCCATCACTTCTGTGTGGAGGAGAGGGAGATAAATTACTCATGCAAATTCCTTGAAGTATACGATGATGGAAGTCTCTGTGGATATGTTTGTGCACTCAAAGTAGAACCGTTCTGCTGTGTAGTTTTTGCCAAAAAGCCCGATTCCTGGCATGTGAAAGACAACCAGGTGGAGCAGTTGACCACGAAGGAATGGATCCAGTTCATGGTGGATGCTGACCCAAGTCAGTAACAGGGGTTAGCAATACATAGACATTGGGGAGGAAGGGTTTTTTTCCTTCAGGATTTGGGGCAAAATAAATAGACCTCAAATTTCAATACTTAATTTATTAATCTCTGGTGGATACAAATAGTCACTATCTCTTTTTTTCTTTTATCCACTTAGAAGGTAGGCATTCCATACAAGTACATACCTTTTTTCCAGCAGTGTTACCTGGTACAGAGGTTCCTAGGTGAGCAAACATCTTGCGCTCGACTGCTAATCTAACACGCTTCATGTCTACTCCCATCTGTCTTCCTTGCCACCTCTTTACTCATTTTCAAGGAAGCCTTGTCCTCAGTCCTTTTCTTTCTTTCTTTTTTACCCCCTGAGCTCAATTTTGGTAACTGTCCAATTAGAGGAATTTATTTCTTTCAGGAATACTTGCCTCTTTTATTTATTTAGTTCCTCCTTCACCTTTTGGTATCTTTTATCATTTATTTCCCTGAAGAAAACTTCTTCCATCTCCCTCTCCTGTTTCTTCCATTCGTGAGCCAAAATTTAACCCTAAATTGAACTCCTAAGAGAAAAATAATGCTGGTATTTTACCTGATTTTGGAAAAGGAAAGCCTCAGATAAGACCAGCACTAGCAACTTCTCAAGTCTCTGAAGATGCAAACTTCTTCCTCAGAATCTACTAAACTAAACAGCTCTCCTTCACTAGCCATCTCATCTTCTAACTTTAATTGCTTTCTAAATCAACTAATTATAGTATTTTTAATTACTATTAATGGATTTTTCCTGTTAATTTTCATGTGTCGTGCTTCAGCAGCATGAAGGGCTAGATTTGTCTCTGACCTAGGAATCTAACCACAATATCTAATAATGTTTCTATTTGGAAAATGAGGTCAGTTCTAAGCAGAATGTTTATATACTCCATATTAGTTTGCTGAGGGGCCTCCCTTATGGTAAATTAAGTGTGTGATTGTTCTTTTTAAGATTCTTTTAGGTGTTATGAAGAGATGTGCCTTCAAGGACCTACGTCATCATCCAGTCCCCGCAGATGGCCTGTTCTTAAGCATAAGAATTTGAGAAGTCAGCAGCTGAGCTGTCAGTCTCCAGGTAGTTTGATCTGGCTTCGGATTTGTTGGTGTGTGGTCAGGCCGCCTCCTCTTCAGATCAGCTCTATCTTGAAATCTGTCATCAAATCACATTCTCTTGGGTTTATGCAAATATTTTGGTGTTTTTAGTCATTGAATCTGTCAAAGTATAATTCTAAGGTTGCTGTCAGCTTTCTTTGGTATAAAAGGAACTATAGGAACCCCTTTACTTGAAAGTGAGAGAAATCCAGCATATTTTAGTTTCAATAAGTAAGAAAGTATATCATGTCACTGGAAAGTCTAGATTGAGACCCAGCTTCAAGAAGTCTAGATTTAGTTACTGAAGAAATGTCATCACTACTTAGTGTCTGTGATTCATTTATCTTTTTAAAACATTGTTGATGGATAATTGAGTTATTTCCTGTTTTCTGCTGTATGAACAGTGCTACCTTGAATTTTCTTGTTCGGTCTACTGGTACATATGTGCAGGAGTTTCTCTCGGGTGCACACTAAGGTGGGCCAGGAGGTATATGGATATTCAAGTAATAAGATGAGGCCAAATTGCTCTCCAAAGTAGATGGGTCATTTTACTCCCATCAGTAGTATGTTAGAAATGCCACATCCTCTCCAGTTGTCACCCTCCTCCTCCCTCCAATCAAAAAGCTACTAAGTAGTATCTTTTTATGGTGAGCGTTTCGCTGATTGCTGATTTGGTTGAGCATCTCTTCATATAATTATTGACCATTTTCATTTCATCTTCTGTGAAGTGCCTATCCTGTCTTTTGATGTTTTTTTTTTGTATTTGGCCTTTTTTTTTTAATTGATCTGTAAGAGTAACTTTAAGATCCTGAAATCAGATCTTCTGTTGGTCATAGATACAGATCACAGATACCTTCTCCAAGTTTGTGGCTAGTATTTTTTCCTTAAATCATATTCTCATCATCAGTGGTTTTAAATAAAGTTAAATTTACCGTTACTATGAATGTTTTCCTTTTTCTGAACATATTATAGTTATTTTTGTCTCTCTCGATAATTCTCAGTATCTCAATCATTTGCTAGTCTGTTTCTCTTATCTTTTTTTTTTTTCTTTTTTTTTTTCAGTAATTTGTCCTAATTTTTATCATGTCTCTTTTATATTGTGTCATGAGTGACAGACTGTAGAAGCTTTGGAAGATGTTGCATTCCTCCAAAGAGGGTTACGCTTTCTTCTTCCAAGAAGATAAAATTCCAGTGGATGACGATTCCGTTGAAGTTTTGTTTTATGCTTCTGTAGAGATAATTTCTTTGAATTTTTCCCTTTCTTTTAGGTCTTGCCTCTTTTGGAGTCTCAACTTAAAATCTGAGGTGTTTACTAAAGCCACTTTACTGGGGCTTGAGTTCTAGTCTTTTTATCCCCAGTACCATGAGGCTGATGAAACTTATATTCAATGTTTCTGGCTCCAAATTGCTATTTTTTTCTAGGTTTCTTGGCAATTCATTAGCCGATGAATTGAGGGGAATTTGTATGCATATGTTGGCTTTTCCTCTCCAATATCTGCTCCTCAAATCCCAGATGCTTTGGTAGCTGTGAACTCTAATCTCTTTTTCCATAGCTCAGTAAAACTGCTCATTTCTATTTGGGCTCTATTCACTCATGTCATGATAATGGAAAATATCCGTAGGAAAAAAACAGGTGAATAAAGAGTTAAATCTCGTACTCCTTTTCTGTCAAAGATTGTAGCCCATTACGTTCTGCTTTCATTGACTGCTAATTCCTTAAATAATTGTTTTATTAGTATAATTTTTACAATTTTTTTTGGGTGGGAGGGTGGTTATGGCTGGAATTGGAAGTTCCCTAGTGTTTTTACATTTTTTATAATTATTTCCATGTTTAGTACCATCAAAAAGGATGACATATACTCCAGAAACCCTGTACAAGGAGCTGTTTTCACGACATGAAGGACTTGCACAGTTGATAAGTAAAGAAATGGGCTTTGTCGGTGAAGGTACATTGATCTTTTCTAGGAGCTGGTCTTTGGATCTGGGCTTGGAAGAGAACCAGAACGTCATCTGTGATGCTCTTCTGATTGCCCAGAACAGTCCCCCAGTCCTATACACCTTTCTCAGGAAACTGGATGAGAAGATACAAGGCTATTCTACCCAGACTGCCCTAACTTTAAAGCAGAAGCTGGTGAAAATCGGTGGTTACACAGGAAAAGTGTGTGTCATGAGAAAGGTCTGCTTGAGTCCTGGAAACAGTGCAAAACCCCCTGATGACTCAGCCTTACAAATACTTTACCCTTCGTCATACAATCTTCAAACTACTCAAACAATGGAAAGCTTGCGGAAGGCCCTTGTAATAGTCTTGATGAGACTCGGATCTTTGCGTAAAGAGTTGGCTGATGAGATTTTCAGCTTGCTCTTAGGTAATCAGTATGGATTGCCTCAAAAGAAATACAAGGATGATGAACATTTGTCCAAGGCTCACTTGAATCATGGAAGGGAGACCAGGCAGCGATGCTTTTCATTGGATATTCTCTAATTCTGTGAAAATACGCCTTTAAAGAACTCTGCAAGGTAAGCAACTTGACCTGATAGTGGAAAATTATGTTTAGTCTATGTTAACTTCTTCCCAAGTAACCTTTATAGGTGTTACATAAAGGTTTTTAGTAAAATTATCTATTACTGACTTCGTATATAGTTTGTGGATAAATTTTCTTCCATTTCTAAATTAGGAAAAATTGTGGTACTTTTATTCTTAACTGCATCCACAATAAAAATCTTCCAGGATGTACCCAGAAAACCTTTAAAACTTAGAAAAGATTATCTTTGATGAACTCAGAAATTTTGCAGTATGTTTAAAGAAGAAGGCAAAATTCATTCACTTGAAATAAAAACTACTTTTTCATTAGACTGTTGGGGAGGCTGTGGATTTCTTAATTGCTCAGCTAGTGTCCTCAAAGGACCAAACAGATTGATGATTTTCCTAGAAACAGTTCTGAATAAAGAAGTCCTGAACATTCTCTCTGGCATAGTTTTAAAGAGAAGTAGCCAAAGTGTAAGTAGAACTTTTTCAGACGATAACTGTTCTCATCAAGAAGAACGTTTGACATTTCCCAGCCCTTTGAGATGAGTTAGGGGAGATGAGATGGAGCTGAAAGAAGTGACACACTCTTGGCTGGGTGTTCTGAGTCTGTGTCTAGTATGTTCAGTAGAATATCAGAACAGAGACCAGAACCCAGGTTCCTCAGCAAAGTCTCAGCCTTCTCCACTGCTGTGTTCAATGCTAGAGGACAGTGGAGCAATACATACAGAATTCTGAGGAAAAGTGAGTTTTACCCAAACATATTTTACCAAGCCAAGATACCATTTTAATATAGAGGCAACAGGCAGACGTTCTAAAATTAAAGAGCTTAAGGAACATCGCTCTTTAATACCTTCTTGAAAAACAACAGTGAAATCCAGCCAACAGCTGTTGTTGTTATGTGCTGTCGAGTCGACCCCTACTCATAGCGACCCCTCCTTGGGTTTCCGAGGCAGTATCACTACAGAAGTAGATTGCCCAACCTTCCTTCCGAGGAGTGGCTGGTGGGTTTGAACCGCCAGCCTTCTGATTAGCAGTCAAGTGCTTTAGCCACTATGCTACCAGAGCTCCTCCAGCCAACAGCTAGATGAATCAAAATAGAGAAATCAAGAGCAGGAAAAGCCATGATAAAGTTGGTATCCTTTGAAATGTTAAATTAAGGAAGAATTATAGCTATAGGACAGAATGTAGCTTTTGACAAAGTAAAACTAACAAATCAGGAAGTTGGGTGCAAATATATTTCAAGGCAGAAATTCTGTTATTACTATCAAAATTTAAAACGTTAAAATATAATTGTTAAAAGATGTTGAAATCATTATTAAGTTTTATTAAAATTATGTATGTGTATGTTCTTAAAATAAGTGGCAGGATTTATTCTAGTATACTAAGAGGAGTTATAGTGTTACAGAGGATTTTCATAGTCTGCATTTTTGTATTCTTACTTTTTTATAGAGAGCATATTTGTTTTTTTTGTAGCGTATTTTTATGACAAAAAAATTATGTCTTTAAATTTTGTAAACCTGCTTTTAATGATGAAATTTATTTTCTGTAGCACAGTTTCATTTAATAGTTCCACAGGTAGCCACGAAACCTGTGATATGCAGATGACACAACCTTGCTTGCTGAAAGCAAAGACTTGAGGCACTTACTGATGAAGGTCAGAGGACACTGTCTTCATTGTGGATTATACCTCAACATAAAGAAAACAAAAAATCCTCACAACTGGACCAATAAACGATATTGTGATTAATGGAGAAAATGTTGAAGTTGTCAAGTAGTTCATTTTACTTAGATCCACAGTCAACACCCATAGAAGCAGCAGTCAATAAATTAAATGAAATACTACCTTGGGCACATCTGCTGCAAAAGACGTCTTTAAAGTATTAAAAAGCAAAGTCAGTTTAAGGACTAAGGTGCACCTAACCCAAGCCATGGTATTTTTAATTACCTCATGTACATGTGAAAGCTGAACAATGAATAAGGAGACCAAAGAATTGATGCATTGGAATTACGGTGTTGGCAAAGAATATTGAATATACTGCCATATATTCGGTATAGAACACCAGAAGAACAAACACACGTGTCTTGGGAGAAGTACAGCCAGAATGCTCCTTACAAGAGAAGATGGCAAGATGTCATTTCATATACTTTGGACAATCAGGAGGGACTAGTCCCTGGAGAAGAACATCATGCTTGGTAAAGAGGAAGACTCTCAAGGAGATTGATTGACACAGTGGCTGCAACAATGGGCTCAGATATAGCAAGGCTTGTGAGGGTGGCGCAGGACCAGGCAGTGTTTTTGTTCTGTTGTGCATGGGGTCGCTATGAGTCAGAACTGACTCCACAGAACCCTAACAACAACATCATCAATCATTTTGTATATTTTTCTTTAATTAACTTTTAATTGTGATTTGGGTGAAAACTTACAGAGTAAATTGGTTTTCCGTTCAACAGCTTATACATATTTTGTTTCATGACATTGATTACAATCCATACAATGCAACAGCACTCTTCCCACTTCTTCCTTGTGGTTACCATTTCCCTTTGAACTTCTTTCCTATCCATTCCTGCCTTCTGAGCTTTACCCCTGGGCAAATGTTCTCTTATGTTTGATTGTTCTGAGAAGTCCATACCTTCTCGGTGTTACTATTCACCTCATAGGCCTATTACTTGGCTGAAAGTTGAGTCACAGGAATGAGTTCAGTTCCAGGCCTGAAGGGTGACTAAGGACCATATTCTTGGGAGTGCCATCATTTTGTATTTTTTAGGAAACACTCTTGCTGTTGGTATGTGTATATTTGTGTGTATGTATGTATGTATGTGTATATATATATGTGTGTGTGTGTGTATATTATTTAATTCAGTATTTGTGCCTTACCATGAATTTTGTTCACTCTGGGCTGTGGGGTTGATTTTAATAGTTATCCAAGAAAATTCTCATTCTCATGGAACAAGTTGATAATGGATAAAAATGAATAAATTATTTTGGATTTTGGGGGCAGAATATTCCTCATCTGGGTGTGCTACTGTTGTGGTAGCTGCTCTGACAAGAATATACCACAAATGGGATGGCCTTAACAAACAGGAGTTTATTCTTAAAATTTGGAGGCTTTAAGTCCAAGTTCAAAGTGCCAAGCTCTAGGGGCTGGGTAAAAGAAAGCCCCTCAACCTTGGGGTCCAGCTCTGCCTCCTGCTCCTGACCCACTGGA